AAAAAAAACCACACACAAAGAAAAAAGGAAACCAAATCAGTCCCTCTCCCACCCCCCCACCCCCTCCCCCCATCAAGCTGAATCCAACACGGTCACACTGCTCCACAGTTTGAGTGCACTTACAAAAAAGAGAAGAGAAAGGCTTCAGCTGCAGCCCCACGGCCTGACAGACAGGAGGGGACAGGCAGCCACCCCTCCCCAGGGCCTGACTTCTTGTTACTTGACAAAGCTTGGTATACTCTTAATTATAATATACTTTTTTTTGCAATCATCTTAAATAAATATTTCCATAGAGATTTGCTGTATGTGTGTATATATATATATATTTCATATATATCATATATGAGAGATAGCTCTTTTTTTTTTTCTTAAACCACTGTTAACATCTTTTCCCTGCTTGTCCAAAAAATGTTACAAAAGCCCTAAAATTGTGCAACAGTTAGAAAAAAGGGACAACAACCCAAAGGAGGAAGGAGCCACTTGATACAGCCCCCTCCACTGTCCCCTCTCCCACTCCCTGTCAACCTGCAGGTGGGGCATTCAACCAAGGTGGGTGGCCTTTGAGGGATGGATGGCAGAGGAGCCACCAGTTCCTCCTCTGATGTTCCCACAGCCTGTTCACATCTGGGTTTCCCTGTTTGGCACAGGTCCTGGACCTTTGGAAATGGGTAGTGAAGTCTCTACCTTGCTATCAAGAGGATGGTGGTTGCATCAAGAGAGCAGTGCACACCATGAGATGCATCCTGTGTGGGGAAGAAGAATTATCTCGGCTCCTGGGATGACCAGAGAAGACAGTTAAGGGATATTCTGCTGACAGACACCTCTTGGTCCATGGGGCCACGTGGCTGCCCCCTCAAACATGGCACTGCTGTTTGAGGGTCCTCCCACGGACCCTGCCATGGGCTGCAGAGCAGATTGTGAGCTCAAAGTGGGGGCAGATGGCTGCTGCTGCCTGCTCCAACCTCTGGAGCTCCATAGGAACATCAACTCAGGGAAGGCAAAGGAGGGGAGGCAGGTTTGGGGTCAGAGGGGGGGTTCAGTGCCTGGTAGATAGGG